GGGGGGGGGGGGGGCTAATTAACTGACTGTGTTTTCTGTCCTTGATTAATGGCAAATGGAAATCTTGCAACCGGAGCTGGGCATTCAACAGATTATCATTACTATTAATTTACTTCCACGTCTTCGCAACCTACTGTGTTTTCTAAAAAGGAGAGACTCAGTTACTGATCCATGTTTTGTTGGTTTCTTTTTTTTCTTTTCTTTCCGTAGCTGTGGACATTCATCATGAAAAGCTTGGGGCATTATTTAGAGGCCGGGGCTTTTAGGGGAAGAGCCGCAATGATTTTTGCCATCCCGAGCAGGTTCTTTTTGGCAAAGAAAGCCAACCCGTTTTATCACTGTCTTGGCTCCCACACCACAGAAGGGCACTATTTTTAGCAAAAGCCAAGAATACTGCCACGGCCACAATATGAATTTGACAGTGAGTCATGGCTCTGTGTTAGCCCACTCATACCTTTGCTTGGACAGAACAGATAATCCACGAGTGAGTGGAAACTGGGCACATTTTCAGCATCACCAGAGCACAGTTAGGCCGTGTCTCATACTGTATGAGTGTGGTTTGAGCTGGTGCCTTACTGTTTTACAGATACGTCACCCCCTCATGTCTCCCACCACATAACTCCCACTTTTTGATCAAACTTGTGTCATCAGCCACCCAGCTGGTTTTGGTGTGATGTAGGTTTATCACACTCAGCTCAGTCCCAAATCTCCACCCCACTTTCCTGTGGAGTAAATCTCATTGCGGCTATATTCGTAGGAGGCTTCTTGTTTTATTTGCGTCCAGGGAGCTTTTTTTATTGCCCACTCTCTTGCCGTTTGAGTCTACTTTTGGAGCCAGTAAAGCGACTCTAACTTATTGCACATATTTACGAAGAGCATGAAAGGGCCAGGCTATCTATCTACCTCCCCGTAACAACGTTTACTTTAAACGGTGTCAATAAATATGTTTGAATCCGACGTGCCAGCCGGCGTTGAGGTGGTCTGGCGAGTCCCTCGGTGCAGCAGCCACCAGCAGTTGCCCCATCCTCCCATTGAGCGGCACCAGAGCCTCACACTATGCTGAGAGGTGAGGAGCGGAGAGGGGAGAGAGGGCCTGGGGTTCGTGGCGTTTCTCTCCACCCGCATACTTTCTATCAAAACCAAAGGCAACACTTGCCAATTAAAGATACGTGTGTGATGAGAAGGCTGATCATAACCAGGCCATGTTTGATAAGCATCATAGATGCGTCTCAGGTGTATGACAGCGCTTCAGTACAGCGTTCATTTGTCACCCAGCCTCACTTTAAACAAGTTTCAACCTTCCCTTGTAACCACATTGAAGTTCCCATGGGCCACGCTGACAAAGATAGAGATGTGTTAAAGGTTTTTCTGACAAAGAGCTATTGAAGAGAGCAGTGCGCTCTCTCCACGGGATCAAAACCAGCTGTCCCCGTGGACTCGTCGCTCAATAAGCGGTAATCAACCTCTATTCATTTAAACGTACAGAGGAGAGAATGCAAAGGCCGAGAATGGGAGGGAAGGGGAGGCTGATTGAGGGTTACGTGTCTCGCCTATCTGCTTCGTGTTTCGGCTCTCCTCTCCAGCTCGGCCGGTATTAGATCAGACGTCAGCGGCGCATGAGACAGTCGCTCAGCATGTCCATTTACACGCAAGATCACGCTCCGTCGTCCTCCTCTCCTCTCAGCCAACGCTCTCCTTTATATAAAGGCACCGCGTTGTGCTCATGATGCAACTTGCGGTAATGTTATGAGGACTGGAGGGCTTGATGCCCCTTTCCTTTTTATCTTTTTTACTTCATGACATTTGCTTGTATTCGCGCAGTCATGGGCCCCCTGAAGAAAGAGACAGGGCGAAAGAGTGTGTGTGCGTGTGTGCGCGTGCAGAAGTCTTTTCGCGGGCGCGCGTGTGTTTCGATGCAGTAACGCAGTGAAGAAAACCCTTGGTATAAAGTCGTTTTTGAAGTCAAATCAAAAATGACAAACTCAAACTTGAACATTTTAAAAGACCCTCAGGCACACAAAAAGGCCGCGGACCTCTAATTGATGCAATTTTAATTGGGAACACCTATTTGGGAACACTGTTGATGATTTAGTAATGAATCCTCCAGTGTCTAAACTGAGAGATGAGAGTGGAATCTACTAGTTTCAACAGACTTTCTCTTGCACTCTTAATACAGGGAAGGTCGTTGCTTTGCTATACTGAAGTTGAATTATTCATAAATGAACGCGGGGCCGGCTCCAGTGACCCATGGAGATCCCCAAAACCTCACTGTATGGTGACATTTTCAGAACCCTGGACAGCGAAGGGCGCAGCTGAGTTAACCACTCAACTGAAGTTCTCTTCAGCACCATGGATAGCTCCTCCAGCCAGCAGCCTCAGCAACAGCTGCGCCTCAGTCGAGGGCTAGCTGGCTCTAGAAGTTGGGATTTCTCCAATGTTTTCATGGCTTTGAACCCTCAATTAGACACAGACTTTAGACCCCTATTACAAGATCATATCACAAGGTTTCTGCTGTTGGTTTTATTCTGTTTTAGCTCTTCTACATTTCAGGCATTGTAAGAGTGAATTCTGTACGAAGGACAGTCATACTCATTCATTTTCTTGTTGACATAGTTTGTAGTGCTAAAATAGCAGGCTGAAAGAAAAATTAACCTGCAACGAGTCCTTTTAAAGCACAGATGAACTAATTCAAGCTTCGTATATGTAAGGATTTGCAGGTTTTCTTTGTTTCATGTGATATTAAATTGAATATATTTGGACCTATTTATACTGTTGGTTAGACTACAGAAGCAATCTGAAGATGCCAACTTGTGCTTTAAGAAACTGTGATGGGCATTGTATCTACCAAAGGACTGACTGAGAAAATAATGGGCAGATTGATTGATAGTGAAATAATCATTCGTTGGTATGTCATTTATTATCACGGCGTTCATCATGTTGCATTGACTTCCTGTATGTCCTTTCAACATAACAAACAGTCCCATGTGTCTTATGTTTCTCATACGTGTTTTGATGGTGTGTGTATATGAGCATCCCACTTTCCTTTTGTTTCTCACATGTCTCCCACCTGTCTGTCTGCTACTCTCAATCTCAAATCCTCCACTACCTGCACGCTCTGTTGCTTCCCATCTCCCATCTGGTCTCTACATTCACCGTTGAGCAATAAAGGATGGAATGGGAGCTGAGAAGCAGATGACATTATCTATTTACCCAAAATAGAGAAATGTCTGGAATGCAAAGTAGACGTGTGTTGTTACTTTTTCCTACTTGAGCGACGGGAAAAGGGATGCGGAGTGGGAGAGAGAGCGGCGGTCAAGATAAAGATGGAGATTGTAAATAGGTGGCACAGGGAGGAAAAAAACAGCAGTGGGGTAGAATCTACTGTGAGAGGAAATAAGAGGCAGAAAGGGGAGGCTACAGTGGAAGTAGAGGGCCGATAAGCTTCCACCAGCTGAGAGATAATCTGGGCCCTATGTTTCTGTGTGCCTTTTGAATGATTTCCCCCTCTTTAGTAAATGATCTATTTGGAGGGTTCATTTTCTTATCAGGCATCAAGCAGGCTCCTATTTCAACAACTAACAGCGTGTAAGTAAGCTTGTGGGCACGTGCGTGTGTGTGTTTGGATGAGTCTGTTGAGTTGCCACCCCCATTCACTCTAGGATGATTAGACTAAAGTGTTGACAAGCAGGTCATTAGCTAGCTTAAAAAGGGCCACTGAGAGATGGAATGTGTGTCTGTGTACGTGCGTGCATGTGAGCACGTGCACAGCTTTCAGATGGCGCAAATGCTTTGTCCTCGTGAGCCCCC